CACTCCGCTTCCTACTTCCTACTTCCTGCTTCGGGGAGATCACACCTAACCTGAGTCTCAGCGAGGGTTTTTCCTGTCAAATACAGACCACACTTCTCCTGTCTCCTCGTTGGACTTTTTTTTTTTGTGAACGAAATGCGAAGGGATGTTAAAGTATGTCTTAACGCATGAAAGTGTCCCCGGAGGATGGGGCGTCGTCAGGTGCACCTGCCCTTGGGTCAGGCCCCCCCTTCCCTGTGGATCAGGTGCGGGTGGGGACCCCTTGAAGATTCGGTTTGGCTTTGCAACCCTTCAACCTGGGGTTCGTCCTGTGATGCTCCCTCTTCCTACGTGCCCCCCACCCCGGGAGCCCCTCGGCACGTCCCGCTGCTCACCGCCTCCCCCACGCTGGCCGTTTCCCTCCGGTAAGGGTGAGACAGACTGACTTCCACGTTGTGGTTCTCCTCTCTTCTCCGGGTGCGTGCTGTCACATGTCCAACGTCCTACGGAGAATATTAAGCAGGAGAAAGGACTTGAAATAACTTGAGAACTACCAAACATCTCTGTTCTCATTTCCTTTAATAAACACAAGTTCCTCCCTCTCCACTAAATATAGCACAGACCGTATCCATTCCTGTTCATCTTGAGGACGGGGAAAAACCCACCCTGAGACACGGTTCTCCCGGTAAGATGCTCCTTCTTGTCACTGGGGGGCAAGTCCTCACATTTTGAGCACAAATCTCGGAGTCTGGCTCCATTGGCAGTAAGTAATTGCCCATGAGGTAGGACCCAGGAGTCATAAGACCTCCTCCTCCTGACAGAGAGCTGCCCACTCCCCCCCGCCCCCCACCGGCCTGTGGAGGAGAGCCAGATGGAATCAGGTTCCACGAACCATTTTTTCTTTCTCTGAGATGAACTTGAAAGTCTCTTTTCACTTTGAGAGTTGGGTTGGATTAAATTGACAGGATCTGTCTCCATGTGTAGAGTTAAGACAGGTCTCTGTGTGTCTGTGCGTGTGTGTGTGTGTGTGTGTGTGTGTGCAGGGCCGGGGGCCGGGAGCTAAGTCCCTGCTGCTCTGGACACAGTGAATGGTCTCCTTAGGCCTGAAGGCAGGAAGCTTTAGGCAGGGGCCTGAGAGAACGGGACTCCGACAGAGAGGTCAGGCTCCACCCTCTCTGTTCTGTTTCTCCTCATAGAGTTCCCCAAGGTCAAGTTGGATGGGCATTTATTGGCTGCCTACTGTATACCGAGGAGGCCTGTTTAGTGCACGTGCCCAGACTATGTTGCAAACCACCCCGGGAGACCCGCGGAGCAGAGAAGGTCTGGAGCAGGTGCGGGTGTGGCCGGGGCCCGGGGCAGATGGCTCACCCTTCCCGGTGGCCAAGGACACAGTTCAGGTCGTCACCCTTGGTCACCCCAACAAGGGAAAATAAACTGTTTATATTCTGAGCGTCTCTGCTCTTCGCAGATGTATTTTTACCCCTCAGACTCTATTTATAAACGCCAGGTGCCAGTTCTGAGCTCAGAACTGCACATGTGCCCACACCTAGGCCCCCCCCCCCTCCTCTTGCCCCAGGCCCGTCCAACAGTCCGCAGGCAGGGGCCTGGGCTGGGCTCCGTGGGACAGACGCGGGCAGGATGCATCCTTGACTCCCGGGAGCTTTCTGGGGTGGGACAGACACACACACACACACACCCAGGTGACGAGGGCACGAGGCGGGAAAAGCAAACCCAACCTTCTTACTCTGGAGACGGCCAGTCCGCCAGTCCAACTGCACCGGATGGGGGCCAGGGCAGTCAGAGAAGCCACAGACGGTGTCCCCACCCGCGGGGGGGACAGCCCCAGAGCTGGGAGGGGCCCCCCAGGAAGGAAGGGAGGGGCAGGGCCGCAGGAAGCCTCATGGAGGGCTTGGGAGGCTTTCTCCTATATCTGAGAAGACAGAACACCCTTGAAGGAGTGCTCTGACCTCTCTGTGCCTCAGTTTCCTCATCCCAAACCGTCTGGAGCCATCAGCTTAATGTATCTGGGGGTACATCTGCCCCAACAGATGGGGCTTAAACAACAGAACTTTATTTTCTGTCAGTTCTAGAGGTCAGAGGTCGGGGATCACAGTGCCCTTGGCATGGATTTCTGGCAAGGCCTCTCTCCCTCGGTGGAGACAACTCCTTTCGCGCTGTGTCTGCATATGGCCTTTCCTCTGTGTGGGCAGGGAGATAGAGGTGGAGAGGAAGGAGGGAGGGGGAGAGGGAGGAAGGAGGAGAGAGGGAGGGGGGGCTGAGAGAGAGACCGAGGGACAGGGGAGCGGGGGACAGGGGGAGGGAGAGGGGGAACGGGAGAGAAAGAGGGAGGAGGGGAGGAGAGGGAGGGAGCGAAGGAGGAGGGGGGAGGGGGGAAGAGGGAGAGAAGGGGGAGAGGGACGATGGTGGGTGGGGAGGGAGGGCCACTCTCTGGTGTCTCCCCCTGTCCTTACAAGGGCACCAGTGCTATGGGATCAGGGCCCCAGCCTTACGACCTCCGGTAACCTCAGTTACCTCCTTAAAGGCCCGTCTCCAAATACAGCCCCTTGGGGGGTCAGGGCCTCTCCACCTGCACTCTGGGGGGGGGGGGCGCAGACACGCAGCCCACAGCACAGGGTCCCGCCGGTGTTTCGCTCACAGTATCACCGTGATGATTAAAGACTCACTTCAGCAAATGCTTGTCCCAACACAGGGACGCAGAAAAGAGACACTCAATAAATAATCCTAATTATTACTACAAAACATCGGCACCGCAGACACCAAGACGAAAGTGAACCACGGACGGTGTTCCCGTCAAGCGTTGCCTCGCTGGGGGCCGGGGGGGAGTCAGGAGACAGCGACAGAATGCAGGCTGGTGGCTGAGGGACACACGGAGCCAGGGCCGGGTCGCCTCAGGGTCACCTTCAGCCGTGTGGGTATGGCCAAGTCATCCGGGCTTTCTGAGCCCTCATTCTTGACCAAAATATCCCCACCCGGGACCCCTGAGCGCTCGTGTTTGTGAGCTGTGACGCGTCGGGTACAGACGAGGCCTTGGCCGTAGGTAGGGGAGGGGGGCATCTGAACAGGCGTTTGCACGGAGAGGATCAGAGGTTTGGGGGAATGGAAGCAGGACCCCCACAGGGGGTACCCGCCGGCCCCCACCCCGTCGCACTTGAGAACGGCCCGCAGACCCCAGGGCCCAGGCCAGACCCCCACGGTTTCTGTTGTAACCGCGGGGGGCGGGGGCTGTCCCGGCCTTCCTAGCGCCTTCCTAGCGCCCTTCCTAGCGCCTGCCCTCCCCGCGGTGTCCCGGATTCGTATCTCACCAGCCCTGCCCCAGCCAAGTCTCCTCCTCTCTGTCCTCGACCCTTCGGCCGTCCATCCGGGCCCCCCCCGTTTCCACCCCACTCTCCGCAGCCCGTTCTCTCCGCCTAGCCTGAGCACGGCGTCCCCCTAACAGCCTCTGTCACTTGCAGCATCAGATCCAAGAGCCTCCACCGGGGCTACCGGACCTGACGAACTTCAGGCTTGGTGACTCTCCCTGACCGGACCCCTTAGACCCCTCCTGTCCCCCTCACTCACCTCCTGCTACACTGGCCTCCCTGAAGACCCTGCCCCAGGGCCTTTGCACAGGCCGC